ATTATACACATGACACAACCCTACTTGCTGAAACTGAGGAGGACCTCTGAAGTGCTTGCTGCAGAAGGTCAAGGACTGCAGCCTTCAATATAGATTGAAGCTCAACATCAAAAAAACAAAGATTCTCACCACTTGGTCGATTGGCAGCATCATGTGAATGAAGAAGAGATTGAGATTGTTGACAGCTTCAGTCTGCTTGGCACCACAATCAAGGCTCTTGGTACCAGCAGCCAGGAAATTAAAAAGACTAATTGTGTTGGGAAAGTCTGCTCTCTAATGTTCACCTGATACAGGCCATGGTCTTTGCAGTTTCTTGCTATGCATCAGAGAGCTGGGCAGTGACTAAGGATGATAGAAAAAGGATTGATGCCTTTGAGGTTTGGTGCTGGAGAAGAGTATTGAAGGTACCATGGACTGCTGGGACAACAAACACGTTTGTCCTGGAGAGGGTGAAATCAGGCTGCTCCTTGGAGGCAACCATTCTGAATCTTCGTCTGACATATTTTGCACATGTTTCAAGGCTGGATCAGTCCTTGGAGAGGGATGTCATGCTTGGGAGGGTGAAGGAACAGTGTAGGAGAGGAAGACCCTTGATGAGATGGATTGATTCAGTGACTGGGGTATTTGGGGTAGGTGTGTCAGAGACAGATTGGCACAGGATAGAGCAGGGTCTAGGGCTGTTGTACATAGGGTCGCTATGAGTCTCAAGCAACTGATGGCACATAACACAGCAACATATAGGAAATACTTCGAAATACTCTTCTGACTCTCATTCTACATTTTCATTATGCAACTAAAGGTCATTATATCTCTGGACATTATCTACACTGCTGATAAGTATGTATTTATATATGTGCATGTTATGTAAATATGTGGGAAAATATATGTACACATGTTTAAGGTCTATCCTTATCCCCATCTGCCTCTTAGAACAAGTAGTATTCCAGTAGATTCTCAGGATGATTTCCCATCTCTTTGATTGTCCAGAACAATTGAATTAACAACCAAAGCCCTCTTCAGTCATTGCCACTGGTACTTTGAAGTGTCTGTACTCTTGGGAAATGATGAAGAGCTTGGTAGATCAAAGGTAGTTGATTGTTGGGTGAAAGATGTTGCACAACACTTTCTCAATTACTTTTTGGTAGGATGTAGTAATGACAGCAAGGATTTGGAGTTTTGAGCTATTTTGTAAATGCCAGAGTTTGGAGATTGAGGAACCTTCACCAGAGCACACTGTGACCCAGATTTCACTTTATTTCTGCTGTGTTGTCTCTAACTTTTGCTGTAAAGAGAGTTGACAAGCACCAGAGAACGTTTATGACTTCTGTCCACAATCATGAAATTTTGACTGATCTAGATAAGGAGCCCTGTGAACATGTTTTCTCACCATGAGTCTTCTTGAGAAATCCCAGGATACCACACATACCACAGGTTCTCTAGCTAGGAACCAACTTAGAATAAAATCTAATTTATTTGATATGGTTTGAGAGAGGTCATTGAAGGAAGAAACCCGAATCTACTACGAGTGTCTCTCTCATTGTTGTGGAGTCAGAACCAACTCACAGCTAACCCTCCATTGGGTTCCCAAGACTATACCTTGAATAGGAGGAGATTGCCTGTCCAGTGGAGCAGCTTGTGTATTTGAACTTCAAGAGAGATGTGATCGTCAGGTTAGCAGCACAGCTTCCTGTGGACTGCCACTGGATTTACATAAAATGTAGAATTACTTTAATTCCTTGTTTATTAAACTCCATATCTTTCTGAATGGAAATACAGAGATGTAAGGAATACTTCTTACTTTATAAAGAAATTAGTATGTTGTTTTGTGTACTGTAGAGTCCGAACCAACCCATAGCTGGCCCTCCAGTGGGTTTTCAAAGGTGGTTAATCACAAGGGAGGAGATTGCCCATCCTTCTCCTGCAGAGCAGCTGGTGGCCTTGAATCATGTGCTTTCGGGATTGCAGTACAACTCTTTGTCACTAGGCCACCAGAACTTCCTTAGTATAAATTAGAAATTAGGATACACAGGAAATTAATTTCAAGGGATCCTTTTAAGTATGTTACATAAATATGCAGGCTCCAGTGTTTGTATAAAGGTTTCATGAGTATATGGGACCTGTACTTTAAAAAAAGAAATAATGATAAGAATTTTTATTCTTGTAAGAGTCATAACATTGTTGTCAACAATCTAATCTCATTTGGATCCACAATCAATGTCTTTGCTACCAGCAGTCAAAAAAATAAAAAACAAACAAACAAACAAAAAACAAAAACACACACACTGCAATGGTAAAATCTGCTGTCTTTGGAATACTAAAGAGCAAGAGTATTTGTTTAAAGACCAAGCTGTGCCTCAATCATGCCATGGTCTTTTTACTTCCCTTCCTTTCTTCTTTAAGGAATTTCTGTTAAAGCAAGAATTTTACAATCCAGATTACATTTCCTTGCTCATTTATCAATTCTGTTATCTAAAACAGAAGTGACATTCTGAACTATTCTGAAAAAAAAAAAAAAAGAGTCATAACATAATCACACTTAGTAATTCCCGCTAGGGAGGCAGGTAGTTTAACGTGTTCTGTGCTAGATTGCTAAGTGAAGACTGAGCCATTTGAATCTACCAGGCGCTAAGCAGGAAGGAAGATAGCAGATACCTCTCGTAAAGATTTCACAGCCTCAGAAACCTGGGGATTTGAAAAGGTCTCAAAGATAGTGGTTGCAAGAGCCATACCATTATCACAATTTAAATAAAAATTCTAGTAAGTAACAGGTTGAAAAAAAAAATTACTAGATCTATATCTTGTTTTGCAATCATGGTTAAAAACAATAAACGGAAAAGTGAGTTTGCCCTAGAATTATTCATTAAGACAAGAAAGTAGGGGAGGAAAGGAAAAAAACAAACTAGCATAAAAATGATCTTAATTCGACTAGCTTACTCGAATTAACTAGCTTAGCATAAATGTAGCTGATGTTAAACATTTTGATAGACTATTATCAGTTTTCATGATGGTCTAAAAAATCTTTTCATTATTTTATGTTTCTTATTCTGTAGTAATTCAACCAGCACATACCCCTTCCCGCCAACTTTTTGAGACCAATTGGGGGTTCTGTTTTTTGAGAAATGAAGTAATTTGTCCTCTAGAATGTCCCATATTATTTGTGATAGTGATTGCTCCTTTTGTGGTTATGGTGAACTTTACCATACCTGTATCTCTAGTCTGTAAGTTGATAATTTGATCTAAGGTTTACTTGATTCAGTTTTCCCTCCTTTTCCTCCCCTCCCTTTATTTCCTCTCTCCCTCCTTCCTAAGAATATCATTGATATTAGAAACTTCCTATTCCATCACATTGCGCTACATACTGTCTAGATGACTCGCATTTATTGGTACTAAGATGATGTTGGAATTCCATTGATCAGCTAGTTTTTACCAAAAGGTGTCCATTTGACCACTTTAGAGCTTTTTAGAATTCTTAAGAGTATTATAATCAAAGAAGATCTATCTTAGCAGATTTGATTAAAGATAAGGAGAAGCATCAATTAAGATGCTTAACAACCTCCTGTATGTTTTGCTAAGACTTGCTGCTATAATACATTTAATATGTAAATAGATGGAGTTTTTTTTAATGCTTTAATAATGAATGTCTTTCTTACATAAGACATTTAATATTTAAGTTAAAATTACTGAGAACAGGAGATTTTTTTCAGGCTGCTGTGCTATAGTAGAAAAATCAGACACTGAGATCTAAGAGACCAATTTATACTCACTGTGGCCCATGTTTTTAAAATTAGAAAATGGGAATAAAAGATCTAGTACAGGATTGTTTTCATGATTAAGTGAAGTAATTTATTTGGAAGCAGTCTAAGACCTGGTGGTTATAATTTTGAATTTAAATCTGAAAAGCATTGCAGTTATGTATTTTTCAGTTGAGACCTTCAGACTAAAATTTAAGAATGTAAGAAATAATATCTCATTTACTGTTTTATCTTTATCCATATAAACTCTTAGAAGATGCATGTTGTTGTTAGTTGCCATTCTTCAGAATCATTTCACAACTGACTCTCCAGTGGGTTTTCAGAGTCTGTAAATTGCCTGCCAGGAGAACCATGTGCCTTTGGGTTGACAGCAGAATTCCTGGCTGTGAGACTGCATGAGTACATGTTGTTGTTAGGTGCTGCTAAGTTGACTACAACTCATAGCAACTCTGAACAATGGATCTGAACACTGCCTTACCCTGTGCCATCCTTATCTTAGTGAGGGTCTGTCTTTTGCTGACTCCACCTTTCCAAGCATGGTGTTCTTTTCCCAAAGATCACTTTCTCCTAAGAACATGCCCAGAATATATGAGGTGAACCTTCACCATTCTTGCCTTGATTGGGCACCCTGGTTGCACTTTCTCTGTGACAGATTTGCTTGTTCTTCTGGCAGTCCATGGGCGCTAGTCCATGGAATACTTGTGGGAGAAGGAGAGAGGCGACTCACTGCCTCTGAAAACCAGCTGGAGAGTCAACTATGAGTTAGTTCCGACTCAAGACACAACAGCAACTGCATAGGATATTCAGTACTTTTCTCCAGCACCACAACTCAAAGGCATTGGTTTCTTCTGTCATCTTTAACCATCCAACTCTCAAATGCCTCACAAGTGATTGAGAAGACCATGGCTTGAAGTGATGCATCTTAGTCTTTAAACTGACATCATTGAGCTGAGGCATAGTACAGTGTTGTTGTTTTTTTCCTTTGGCTTTGTTTTTTCATGATTATGGTGCTTATTATTGGAAGTCAGAAGGCTGTAATTCAGGTTGGCAGCATGATATAGTTGCTCAGTCAGGATAGCTTCCGAAATGTGCTTGCAGACACCTCAGCCTTCAGCCTTGCAGCTTTAAGCTGGTGTTAGAGCCCTGCCAATTATGGCCATAGTACAATTTTAACGCAAATGTTAATTAAGGAGGCCTTTTAGGAAAAACATGCACAGAAATCTTAGGTTACTATTTTTCTATTTCCAGCTCCATTTACCTCTCAATTCTCCTTTGCCTGGGAGTGAGCTGACCAAGGAACCTTTTCGCTGGGATCAGAGACTCTTTGCATTAGTGCTGCGGTTGCCTGGCACCGTGTCGGTGGAGTCGGAACAGTTGACAGGTGTGCCCTTAGATGACTCTGCAATCACCCCCATGTGTGAAGTCACAGGAGGTAAGTTAAACACTTGCTGGCAGAATTTCTGTGACTTAAAGCAAGTTTATCTGAATGCTTTTGAAATTTATGTTTAAAAAAGTTTCTTGGTTTGTTTTTAAAACAAGTAGTTTCTAGAAATTAATAAAGATATATATAGTTTTAAAGTTTTCTTTCTTGATTAAGGTTTCTGACTTTTTAATAGAGTGGATATACAAACATAGCAATCTTGCTTTCATAGCACATTTTATTACTTACCTGAGGAATTTGCTGTTAGAACCTGTTATTCTGCTGTTTTACTCGTTATATGGGTCTGTGGCACAGTCTGGATGCAATGAGATGCCATCATCGTCACCTACTTCATTTAGGGGAAAGTTGGTGAGGTATACTCTCCCTATTAATAAGGACTCGGCCACTAACCAAATGGTTGAAGTCCGCCCAGAGGTACCTCAGAAGAGTTCTACTTCAGAAAACCAGCGAGTGAGAACCCAGTGGAGCATGCTTGCACCAGGACACAGGAGGGCGTGCCGAGACTTGACAGCAGCTGGCTCATAATGAGTATTTTATTGCCCTTCTAAAATTCTACAGAATTTCAAGGTCATTTCATTGGAAGTTTGCAGCATTCACAATGAAAAAGGAATTCGTTTTACACAGTAGATAGACTATGAAGTTATTCTTGCTATAACCGAATGTTCTCATTTTATAGAATTACTTTTATGATCTTACATAATGTAAGATAAAGTTATTTCCATAATTTTTAAGGACCAACAATAATTAGAACTGTCACTGAAAAACTTCCTTCTTGTACCAGTAATGTTTTTCAGTGACAGTCCTGATTATTTCTGTGGGTGGATATACATTTGTATTCAGAAAATACATATTTTCTTTGAACTGACCCATCCTTTTAAGAATATCTTCCCCCCCACCCCCACCCCCCATAACAGTGTATGGTTTTCACCTACAGATGACGGTCCTTGAGGCCATATTTGAACTATTTTTGCTCTGGAAATTTTTTACTATGAATTAGTTAGCTTGGATTTAAAATTAAGATAAAGTTTTGGAAGTATATGTGCTGTATCCTTTGTCTTCTCTGATAAAGTATATTCAGAGAGAGAAATGATTAGGTAGCGTGATTAGAGAAAGCCGGAAAAGTACATCATGTCTACTCACTGCCAATGAATTGATTCTGATTCCTTGTGACCTTCCATCCAGTTTCTGAGGCTGTAAATCTTTAGAGGGAGACTGCCTATCTTTCACTCATAAAGCTGCTAGTGGATCTGAATCACAGATCTTTTGAGTAGCTTCCTGACATTTTAGGTATACTAAAATTTGTTCATTCTTTGAAAGGATCAGACTCTTCCGTAGAAGAGTCTGAACTCACAACTCAAACTTTAGTCAAGAACTTGGGGCATTTACCCCAAGTGTACATCATAGTCCTTTTTCATGTCCTTGTTAGTGATAGTGGGAATGCACGCAGACACCACTCATCTTTTCATTTATCTCAGTAATTATTTTCTTTCTTTTTAGTTTGAAAAAAATGTTCAGTAGAGACAGTTTTATGGATAAAACCCCAGAGATGTACAAAAGAACAAAAAACTAATGTCCACTCTTTGCATGCTATTCAAATAAATTACCACTGATACCAGTTACCAGCATGTGTTTTAAAAGGAATGATAAATGGGAGTGTATATGTGTGTGAGTGCATTTCTTTTTCCCCCATTATAAAACAATTCATACACACTAAGAAAAAATAACAAAGAAATTCACATGTAACTGCCAAATCAATCTGCTTTGTTATTTTTCTTAAGCATGCTTTTAAAATTTTAATGATAATTGTCATTGTAAGCAGTTTAACAAATAATAACTTGTGGTTTAAAATTTGAACAGTCATGTAGGCCACGCTAACTAATTTTTCTTTTCTGAGCATGATGGCAAGATATTAGAGAGCTTTTAATAGGAATATAACACCTGGTTTATATTTATGAAGGATAACTTTGGTTGCTAGATGAGAATATACCATGTGGTAGTAATAATGGAAGAATGAAAACAAAATGATGATGGAATACTATACAGCCCTCAGGAACATTGATTTCATAAAATACTACATAACATGGGAAAGTCTGGGGAGAGAACTAACCCTGTCTCATAAGGACAAATACTGCATAATTCCATGACTGTAAAAATAGAAGGATAACAAGTAAGATGTGTATAAATGTCCAAAGAGGGAAGGGAGTGGAGGATAATCACTTGGGGTAGGAAGGAGGAGAAAATGTATTTGGTTTCTTTAAAAAAAAATTGTATTTTTTAAATTTTTTGTATGGGTGTACCATCAAATTAGATCTGACTGGTGCAGGAGGAGATTGTCCCTCCTTCTCCAGCAGAGCATCTTGGTGGATTCAAACTGCTCACCTCAGGAATTGTAGTGTAGCTTCTTGCCACTAGGCGAAGAGAACTCACCGAGAAAATGTTTTAAAAAATTAAACAAATGTGTATGAATAATTGGATACTCAAATTACTTTGTAAACTTCCATGCAAATTACAATAAAATAAGGGAGAAAATTGATAACCTGGAAAAAAACCTGCAAAAACAATACACCCCACATCATTTGGTCAGAGTGGTGGTTTGGAAAAAATGTCTCTTTTGCCTTTTGTCCCTTTTACAAAAAAGCCCACAAGTAGACTTCTGTGAGCTCTACTTGATGACAAATTGAAACCTAATACTACCACATTTGTGTGGCATAGAGAATAATCAGCATAAGCGAAACAGTAATAGAATATAGACTCACTTTATAAAGATGGCAAAAATTATCAACCCCTAAAAGGAATAAATACATTTTTATTATTTGGCAAAAGATTCAAGTATATTGTTTTCTATATTTTTTTGAAAATACCTCTTTTAAGTATTTTATTTCATAACTAAGATCGTAATTGATTTTTCGCTATTGACCCATGTCCACCATTACCTCACCTTTTTAGGCCCCCACTCGATCTTTTCCTAATTCCTTCAACCCCTTACCCTGCCTCCATAGCCCTGTGACCTCATCATTTCTCCCTACTACTCCCCACCCTCAGGCAGGGTGTATCTTACTAGCTATCCTCCTATTTTTATAATAACGGTCCTATGCAGTATTTGTCCTGATAAGACTGAATTCGTTTACTCAGCATAATGTTCTCCAACCTCTCCCATGTTAGATAGTATTTCTCAAAATCATTGCTCCTAAGAGCTGGATAGTATTTGTGTGAAATTCTTTTAACCAGTTCTTCCACATTAGATTGACCCAGTAGATGTTTTTTTGGAGTATTGATTTCAAATCAATACTATGATTTTCAAAGGAAAAAAGTATATACCTGAAATAAAGTTTCTGACACCCTTCAACGGTTTTAAATCCTGGGTGAACCACTCTAGTAACTTGGACGAGTTAGTTTCCTTCTTTGTAAAATGAGAAGTAACCCATCCAAGTATTGCTCAGATAAAGTAAGTTAATATCGTCTATATTAGGACAGTGCTTGGTACATCACAGCTTCTCAGTAATTGGTAGCTCTTTACTATTCTGTGTATAGATCATTTGCTTTTATACTTGTGTTTTTTGTTTTTGTTTTAGTAAAATTGACTGAGTATTTGAATTATTTATAACTGACTAATGTTCTTTTTTCAGAGTAGCCTTTAAGAGATTGCATGTTGAGTATAAATTGATATGAGTAATTTAAATGTCAAATATAATAATATAGCCTGTGCTCTGAGATAATTGGTTGAATTTGCATAAGCATAGGACCTTGTGATATAGGATTTACTAAAAATAACAAGATATTTAATTAAAAATGGATTTTTAATTGTCTAAATTACCCTAGGTAAACACTGTATAGTAGAAAGATAATGCATGTTACATATAAAATCAGAATTTTAAAATAGCCACATGAAAAAGATGAACAGGT